GCCTGTGCCTATTATGCTCCATTTTGATATGTGAATTTCACAGGTAATGTATGTGGGTTTCCTAATCTAGGTGCTAAACCTTCTCTATACCATAAGAGTGGGAATACCAGAAGGCATGGGGGACTCCACTTGCTCTAGCACAGGAATAGCAGAATCATGGATACAAACTGAAACTAATTAGCTTTATTATTTATTACTATAATCACTACTACTAGTTAGATTCTCAATTTTACCCATGACCAGGTAGGTAAGGGTTTACAATATGTGATTAAAAACAACACTATTTTGGCTTGGTAATATATGATATTTGAGCTGAGGTATTTATGCTCTGAATATAAAGAAAATGCATTTTCTTTGGAGAATAGCACTATTTATGTCTACTACAGAAAATAAAAAATACAAAATATCTTCATTGAAAAATTAGCAGATCTTATAGTGACCAAATCTAGACTTTTTATTAGCCCTTGGGATAAGAAATACAACAAAATCGTTTTCAAAGGTTATAAATTGGCGCTCTCAGTTGAAAATGAGCTGTCATCTCACCTGAAAATGTGCTTAGTGAGAAGCAAGTAATGCTTCATGTGAAATCAAGGCAATGGTAAACAACGGGATGATGGAACCTAAAGAAATCCAGATTTATGCCTCTTTAAATAAAATCTCTGTGAATAATGAACATACCTTTTTGAGTCTACTTCAAAAAGCTTGTGGAAAATGGAATTATGAGATAAACTTATTTGGTGCCAGAGAAATCTGGAACCCATGGATAATGGGGTTGATTCACAGTACAGTAATTTCTTTGATAACAGGGAAATATTTTTCTGTGCCACACCTCTATTAAAAATGGGAGAAATAAAAATGCTAAGATAGTGTGTTTCAAGAAAACATGGTAGAGTGTATTTCTTTGTGAATGCGGAGGCTGAGTCCACATATTTAAAATACAAGCTATATCTGTGCTTAAACAAAACAAAATCATCAAATAATATGAAGCAATCCATCATTAAGAATTATACAGGTAAAAAGAAAAGACACATAATGCAATAGTCCTATAAAAGTGACTGAAATTTGAAGCATTTGTTTTAGATTTGAGTAAAATAATGGATGCTTATGTTGAATTAGTTATGCATTATAACTTGCTGGGGCAATTGATTTCTTCACATGGTAGGTTTATTACATAAAGTCTATTGAATACAGCAGAAATCATCTGTTCTGAATGGAAATAGTTTTATAAATAAATTCTACCAAAAAGTACTGTTGATTGGTAAGTTAAGCTATTGCTAAATTTTGCTAAATAATTTGCTTGGAAAAAATTTACCTGTGGCATCTGTTGCAAGTAAAGATCAGTATCTATTTAAGTATTATCTATCTATCAATCTGTCTAGTACTGCCCAGTTAACTATTTGTTCCTAGTGCTGATGACAATAAATTAATCCAGGAACTTTTGAATATAGTGATCCTGTCTCCCAACCTCATGAAATGATATTTTGTATGAAAAATGCTGAATGGCATTTGGAAGACTGCTCTAAACTGGTGTTGTGATTTTTTTTTTTAGATTTATTTTATTTATTTGAAAGACAGAGTTACAGAGAGAGGTAGAGCAGAGAGAGAGGTCTTCCATCCGCTGGTTCACTTCCCAGATGGCCACAACAGCCAGAGCTGTGCCAATCCAAAGCCAGGAGGCCACGTGGGTGCAGGGGCTCAAGGACTTGAGGCATCTTCCACTGCTTTCCCAGGCCATAGCAGAGAGCTGGATTGGAAGAGGAGCAGCCAGGACTAGAACCGGCACCCATATGGGATGCCGGCGTTTCAGGCCAGGGTTTTAATCCTCTGCACCACAGTGCCAGTCCCAGTGTTGCAATTTTGATTGGTGTGGACTTCAGACTTACTATGAAACTAATATACATGGCAACATTTTGGTAGAATGTAGAATTTTAGCTCATGTAATATAGTATGAACTAATTTTTATTTTGTCATTGTTCTGGTTAAAAATATTGAAACTGGACAATTTTACAACCATAGTCTTTACTTCCCTTAAACCAATAATCTTCTACAATTTTCATCGTTTCTGAATAAACTTAATGTGAAGCGTTATAAAGATTGGGTGGCTTTGCTATGACAAAGTATGGAATGGCAGGCTTTTAAAAAGCTATATGCATTTGCTTGTTTTATTTGAAATTCAGAGAGAGAGAGAGAGAGAGAGAAGAGGGAGCAATATATCATATATCTTCCATTCACCAGTTCACTCTCCCAATGCCCACAACTACCAGGGATGGGCCCGGTCAAAGTCAGGAGCCAGGAACTGAATCCAGGTCTCCCAAATGGGTGGCAGACACCCAAGCTCTTGAGCCATCACATTTTGCCTCTCAGGGTGTGCATTAGGAGAAAGCTGGAATGGGAGCAATGAGACGCAGGTGTCCTAAGCGGCAGCTTAAATGCTGCACCAAACACTTGCCCCTGAAGAGAAGTCTGATTTTTGAAATTCATTGACTTATTCACGCATCCATGATTGAAAAGATTGTCTGAAAAACTTTGCCATTTTATGTATTTGCCAATTCATCTGGTCTAACTACTGGGTACTTACAGGAATGCATGATTTCACTGTCCATTCATCCTGAAATCCTGTATTTGGAGATGTCATTTGAGAAGAAATAAACTGGTCTATTTTTGTATGCTAAAATCAAATTACTAAATGAACCTGAACTACATTCTCCACACTATAGTTTTGAAGGCTGATTTTTCAAGATAACTCTGATTGACGTTCAACTGAGAGTAAAATTAATTGACCTTGCTCAATTTTTCTCAATATTTTAATTGGAAATGTAGAATTACTACTACTCAGTACAAAATCATAAGTACTAGAATGTAATGTTGATAACACTGGGATTGCAGAATTCTATTCTCAGTCACTGCTACCTGAAAGGAAGTATGAGTCTATGCAGGCTTGGAAATATCTGCATTTGGGAACTGCTGTTTCTGCTGTAGAAAATCATAAAAATAAACATCACAAGGCCAGCATTGTTGTCCATCAGGCTAAGTTGCCACCTGCGATGCCAGCCTTCCATATCAGAGTGCAGGTTCGAATCCTGACTGCTCTGCTTCCAATCCAGCTCTCTGTTAATGTTCCTGGGAAAGCAGTGCAGGATGGCCCAAATACTTGGGGCCCTGCCATCCACGTTAGAGACCTGGGTGGAGTTCTTGGTTCCTGGCTTCCTCTTGGCCCAGCCATGTGTGTCTTTCCCTCTCTCTTTGTCACTGTGCTTTTCAAGTAAAAATAAGGAAGTATCACACCCAGCTAGAGAAACCATAGCTGAACCTGATACTGGACATTGTTAGTGGAAGTATTAGCCATCTGCATTTTGTGTAAAAGAAAAGGTTTCAGGGCAGGCGCTGTGGTGCAGCGGGCTAACGCCCTGGCCTGAAGTGCCGGCATCCCATATGGGTGCCGGTTCCAGACCCGGCTGCTCCACTTCTGATCCAGCTCTCTGTTACAGTCTGGGAAAGCAGTAGAAGATGGCCCAAGGCCTTGGGCTCCTGCACCCATGTGGGAGACCTGGAAGAGGCTTCTGGCTCCTGGCTTCGGATCGGCATAGCTCCGGCCGTTGCAGTCAATTGGGGAGTGAACCATCGGATGGAAGGCTTCTCTCTCTCTCTCTCTGCTTCTCCTCTCTCTGTGTAACTGACTTTCAAATAAAAAAAAAAGGTTTCAGATTCTTAGTTTTAGATCAAGTTTTAATAACACAACAATTCAGTAAGGTAATTTTTATATTTCTTAGAGTAGTTTAAAATACTTGATTTTAAGTTGTCATTTTCGGTATCACACATGTTGGTATCATGTTAAGCATTTTCATGCCCATTCAGCAGATGTGCATGGCAGAGGATTTTACTTACGAGGGACTCTGACTTTGCTCCTAGTGTGTGTGTTTCTTTCATTGCCTCTGTAGGTATTTGAGTTTGCATTCCCTGATGTTGATATTAATTGAAGCACAAGATAATGAAGCAAAAGTAAATGCAAAGAAGGGAGGGGCCAATGCAGAACTCTTGAAAATGCTGACATAGGGGCAGAATAAGAGACTTCATACAGGACACAAGCAGCCAGAGAAGCAGCTGGAATAAAGACAAAGTGTGGTACCACAGAAGTTGTGGGAACTCTGTTCAAAAAGGCAACTGTCATGAGCTCTGAGCAGCCCTGCACGCTCTTGGGTATCCCAAAATGCAAGGCCCTGACTGCTCCTTCCATGAGCCACATCGCAGCGTTATGTCAGCCGCAGGTAATGTTGAAAGATGAGGCATGGCGGCTGGTGCTGTGTAGCGAGTGAAGCTGCCACCTGCAGCACCTGCATCTCATAGCATGGATTTATGTCCTGGCTCCTCCACTTCTAATTTAGCTCTCTGCTAACGGCCTGGGGAAGCAGCAGCAGATGGCCAAGTGCATGGGCCCCCACCACCCATATGGAGATCCAGACCTGGAGGAAGATCCTGGCTCTTGTGGCTCCTGCTTTTGGCCTGGCCCTGCCCTGTCCATTGTAGCCATATGGGTAGTGAACCAGTACATGAAAGGTACACACACTCTCTCTCTCTCCCCACCCCCAATTTTACTTATGACTTTCAAATAAATAAATAAACCTCTAAAAATGATGAGGTATGTTCTCTTTCTCTCTCCATAACAAACAGCAGGCTCACTATAAAAGCAGTAAATTCTGTAAGCTCAGGAATCCTTTGTTGTGATGCCCAATTATGTGCAGCGTAAGCCTGAGACACACCTAGGGCACTGTCGTGGTCCTCGAGAGGCAAAGGATGCAGACACAGACACACCCGTCCTTACTTTCTGGCTACCACTGTGCTATAATAAAATCTCTCTCTCGCTCTCGCTCTCCCTCTCGCTCTCGCTCTTGCTCTCTCTCTCCCCCTCTCCCTCTCCATATTCTTCTTCCTCTCCCTCTCCCCCACCTCCAGCAGTCTCATGTCTCTTTCCAACATTCATAAAAACACTAAGAGACTATTACCTTGAAAGTAGGGTAAAATCGATCCTTCATAGTCCTCGACAGGTATTCATGCAGCGTAGAAGGTACCGGCATTGCTAAGGGGTCAGGTCAGGTAATAGTTGAAAAAGGTATGTTGGTCCCTGATAAACTTGGCCAATAACGGTTTCTGTGCAATGCTGGGGACTTGAGATGGCTGCAGTGTGTTTAGTTGCTGTAGGGGAGATTGCTGGTAGAAATTCTTCTAAGAAGTTTGGTTATAAGTGGCCATGCAGAGGCGTATTGCTAAAAGAAGAACTGGATTCAAAGGAAAGCTCTATTTGGACACTGATTCTTTTACTGATTTCATCGTATCTGGCCATGCTAGGCTTCTGAGTTTGTGCTTCCTGAATTAAAGCTGCTGTTTATAGCTGTACAAAGCGTGTGCTGAGTAACTTCAGAGGCTGCCACTCACATTTGAGTCTTGGAAGAACTGTAGGGTCATTATAATAATTTCCTGGAGAAAAGTGGTACATTGACTTGAGGCAGGCCTGTTCTTTGAGCTTAAGGAAAGTCTCCCTGGGGACTTTCAGGACGGGTCTGACACCTAGCAAACTAGCCCCACCCTGGTTTCCTTCCCGGCACTCAACAGACTCACCACGAGTCAACAATGAACCAAGGGGCTGGCGTTGTGGTGTAGCAGGCAAATCTGCTGCCTGCAGTGCCGATTCAAGTCCTGCCAGCTCCACTTCTGGTCCAGCTCTCTGTTATGGCCTGGGAAAGTAGTAGAAGATGGCCCAAGTCCTCAGGCCCCTGCACCCGCGTGAGAGACCTGGAGGAAGCTCCTGGCTCCTGACTTCAGATCGGCGCAGCTCTGACTGCTGTGGCTACCTGGGGAGTAAACCAGAAGATGGAAGTCTCTCTCTCTCTCTCTCTCTCTCTCTCTGCCTCTGCCTCTCTGTAACTCTACCTTTCAAATAAACAAATAAACCGTTTAAAAAATGAACAAGGAACAGTACTAAATGATGAGACATGGGGGAGAGCGGCAAGATGGCGCAATAGGAAGGGAGCACACTGATAGTCCGGGAAGAGACAGTTTAATAAAAGTGGAGATACTGCAGGTTCAAGGAAGAGTAGGGGAAGAAACAGCAGAGGAAACTCTTCCAGAACTAGTGATTCACAGTGGACCTTTCTCTGGAGGGAGGAGAGAACTTCCATTTTGACTATGACCCTGTTGGAATAAGATCGAAGTCGGCGAACTCAAAAGGCTTCCTTAGCCTTGGCAACTCATGACTAGGGAGATTACTGACGCCATAAACAAGAGTGTCAAATTGTTAAGTCAACAACAGGAGTCACTGTGTACTTACTTCTCATGTGGGATCTGTCCTTAATGTGTTGTCCAATGTGAAGTAATGCTATAACTAGTACTGAAACAGTATTTTACACTTTGTGTTCTGTGTGGGTGCAAACTGATGAAATCTTTACTTAATATATACTAAATCGATCTTCTATATTTAAAGATAATTGAAAAGGAATCTTGATGTGAATGGAATGGGAGAGGGAGCGGGAGATGGGAGGGGTGCTAGTGGGAGGGAAATTATGGGGGGGGGAAGCCATTGTAATCCATAAACTGTACTTTGGAAATTTATATTTACTAAATAAAAAAAAATAAAAAAATGATGAGACATGGATGTGGAAGATGCAGTTCGAAACCTCAAAATTCTAGAAAGAGCTCAAGAAAAGATGCAGACTAAGCTGAAACATGAGCAGTAGAGGAATTACCCACCTAAGTCGAAGACAGAAGGTTTGGGGAAGTGGGGATTGTTTATGCAACAATTTTGAACCTGAACAATTCAGGCGAGAGGCACTAAGGAGCACTGGGATGCAGCTTCGAATGGTATTCTGTACTCCAGGAAGCACATAATTCATAGAGGATTTCAGTTTGCCCTCAGTATGTCAGAACAAAGCAAAACCACGTAGAACCGCCAGAAATGAGAGGCGGATACTGTTAATTTTTCTACTAATTAGACAATAGAATAAGAACTAGAGGTGCTCCCAATACTTAGACTTCATTTTTTCATGCTTTCCCTCAAATTGTATCTCAAATCAATTTTCCAATAAAATGTGTTTTACTCTACTGTTTGAAATAAGCCTCTGTTCAGAAACTTCAAAGAGTTGTGTGACCTCAGTATTCACAAACACTTGACCTCATCAGCTGCCACAGGTTGCATCCTTGCATTCTTTTTGTATCTGCTATCCTGTTTCTCACTCCCATGGGTCTCTCTTTGACACAGTTAATTTATTTTCTATACATGGTAGTTTATGCCTACTTAAATCTATCTTTTTAAAGGCTATCCAATTACCTGCTGTTCCTTTTCGCAGCCTGCTTGAACTTTCAGATGCAGCATTCCCCTTCACCTTGCAGACAGCACAAGAGAGCAGAGCAGTCAGATCCCTGCTCCCAAACTCCCAGAAGTGCGGGGGGCAGGGAGCCAGTGCCCAGGGCTGTAATGAGCACCCGTTCTCTTGGTTGCACATATTCAGACAGTGACAAATCACACTTATCTCAGCTGGCATGCAAAACGGGAACTTGTTTTTCAGCTGGGAGAGTAGAAGAAGCACCCATTCTTCCACACTAAATTCACATTACAGCACAAATTTAACAGGTAATCTCCTCAAACGTGCCCATATTCTTTAGCATCCATTTAAACTAAACCAGTAATCAGAGGGATGATACTTCAGAGACTGGGGGAGTGTTTCTGATGTATTGAAGGTGACGCTTCCCTTCATTTTCGTCTTCATCTGTCCTGGTCCATTATGTCTTCTCATGATGCAGAACATATCCAGGATTGCCTTTTTCCACTGCCTTGAGGATTTCGCTCCATGGATGTGACTTTAGAGTGCAAACCACAGACTGGGTTAGAAGACACCAAACTTGGGTGTTTTCATTATATGATGATGACGGGGCTGGAGGCTGTTCTGTCTATTACAGCACAGGAGTGAAAGAATGGAGTCAGGAGACTTCACCTACAGGAGTCTCAATTCTTCGACTCCCATTGCTCACTGGTAACTGCCGGAAATACTGGCGAGTGCACCTAATCACAATGAAAATGGATTGCTTTTTTTCCAATTGCACAATGAAAGAAACTGATAAAAGCTCAATATCAAACTAACAGTTTACGAAACATAAAGCTACATGCGGACTGTACTGGCTGAGCTGACAATCCCTGAAGTGGAGTGTACTTCATTTCATATTCTCTATTAAAATCATATCAGTTTGGAAATGAATAGGCCCTCCTGGGGGCTAAGCCAGCCAGTCACCAGACAGAGACAGTGAGGCAGACCCTCATTCAGTCATCTGTCATGGAACTCCAGGGCCTCTGGTTCAGAGCTGTGAGGGAATTTGATTCCAATCAGGACTCCCAGCATACAATTGAACATTTAGGCTTGTTTCTGCTTGCTATGCTTTATATGCTGAGGAACAGGTAAAATTACATTTGAAAATAGGATTTTCTTACTGAAATAAAGGGGGCCACAACCCAAGTCATATTTAGAAGTGTACATGAATCATTACAAATATATATTTATGCTCAGTGAAATTTCAACATGAGTTGTTAAGTGTATAGGGAATGGAACTCTTCATTTCTCTAGGGGACCAAACAACCCTTAAACATCTTAAGTAAAGTGCATTGGAATAGATCAGCACTAATATTTTGAACACTTTAAATTTTGAAGCTCCAGGCTTGTATAGTTATTTTTATCAATCTTTGTGAGATTTTGCAGTTTCAAGTATTTTTTCTCACTTTATGCACTTTATACTTTGGATTTTAATATCCCTATTGTGGGGAGCAACTCGGACTAGACTAAGTTACTGGAATTAAGACTTATTCTATGCATCTGCTCTCCCACAATATGGCGCTGGGGAGGAGTAAACTTCTACGCAGCTGCCTCTTGCCAACTTGAGTGATGACCTGCAGGAGCTGATCCTGCTCCTGATTGGAGGAGAGCAGCGTACTTGGCGCGTGGGTAGCAGAGTTGGGATTGGTGGAAGAGGACTATAAAGGAGGAGAGAGACAACATGCACCAGGAACATCTAAGGGGAACACCTGAAAGAACACCTGAGCAGCCCCCGAGAGAGCCGGCCAGCGGTGTGCCGCTCCCCCGCGGAAGTGGGGAAAGTGGCAGGGGGGCCCGCCCCTCCACGGAGGTGGAGGGGTCTGCAGCCAACCCGGGAAGGACCAGCAGCAAACCCGGGAAGGGCCGAGCAGACAAAAGAACAGTGCAGGGTTCAGTGTCGTTCCTCCGCGAAGAGGGGGAGCGACACCTATGTGTTCCATTTTTAAAGAAAATCAGTCTTCAGATAATTTTGAAGTGGTTGAGTGATGGTCCTAAAATCATGCAACAACAGCCATCATTTGTTTGAAAGATTCATTTGCAGCTTTCCTTAATGTAAATCTCAAACTAGGATCATGGTTATACACATGTATCTATCTTTAGTTATTTTTTTAAACATTTATTTTATTATTTATTTGGAAGTCAGAGTTATACACAGAGAGGAGGATAGGCAGAGAGAGAGAAAGAGAGAGCACGTGTTCTATTTGCTGGTTTACTTCTCAACTGGCCACAACAGCTGGAGCTGCACTGATCCAAAGGCAGGAGCCAGGAGCTTCTCCAGGGTCTCCCACATGGGTGCAGGGGCCCAAGCATTTGGGCCATCTTCTACTACTTTCCCAGGCCATAGAAGAGAGCTGGATTGGAACTGGAGCAGCCAGGATTCGAACCTGCGCCCAAATGGGATGCCAGCACTTCAGGCAGTGACTTTACCTGCTACACCACAGCTCTGGCTCCTAGTTATGTCTTTGTGCCTGCTTTCATGCTATTCCTTAAAAAGTGTGCTTTCCAGCTTAGCATGTATACTTCCAAACTTTTCTCCAAATTTAAGTCCATATTCTACACACTTATATCGATATAATCTAATATCTATTAGCTATCAATCTGTTTATCTATATACTACATACACACAGATTTAAAAATTTTGCTAAACTATTTTGCAGTAACAGAATTTTACTATAGATATTACAACATGCTTTTTCACCTGGATACTCATACCTAATGATACTTTTTAAAAAAGATTTATTTATTTGAAAGGCAGAACTACAGAGAGGCAGAGAGAGGGGGGAAGAGAGAGAGAAAGAGAGAGAGAGAGAGATCAATCTTCCACCCATTGGTTCACTCCCCAAAAGGCCACAATGGTCACAACTGGGCAGATCTGAAGCCAGGTGTCCGAAGCTTCCTCCGGGTCTCCCATGTGGGTGCAGGGGCCCAAGGACTTGGGGCATCCTCCACTGCTTTCCCAAGTCACAGCAGAGAGCTGGATCAGAAGTGGAGCAGATGGGACTTGAACCAGCACCCACATGGGATGCTGGCCCTGTAGGAGTTGGCTTTACCTACCACACCACAGTGCTGGCCCCCTAATGACACTTTTTAAGATAACTTTGCATATATGCACTGTAATTTTAAAAAAAATTACTACAAACTGAATTTTTCATCCACAACATGTGAGAATGTGTTTTACTCATGGGTGGGATGAAGAAAATATAATCTTTACTTATTTTATTTAGTCCTCCCTCTTCCTTTTCATGACATTTCCATGTAAAATACTTATTCTTTCCGGTGATAAGAACTTGACATATACTTATACACATATAACATACTTATGTGTGAGTATATCTATATACATGTGATGGATTGGGAATTGTTTGCTTTGCAAAAATGACATCATTTTTATGTACTTTTTTTTAATCTTTGTCTTTTCTCACTCAACAGCACATTTTGGAAATGCCTCCAAGTGTAAGAATATAGCTCCAGTGTGTTCTTTGTAATGATGGCATCCTAATCTGTGAATGGAGCTAGCATGATTTATCCAGCCATTGTCTTACTCAAAGGGAGTCACTTAGCTCCCAGTCTTGTGGATTTGTTTCTGTTGTTAACACTGTGAAGATTGCTTGACACAGATTTTCATTTTCATTTATGATTACAGGTTCAATTCTGCAATGGGATTGCTGGTTACACATCTATAACTTAAATTTTAACAAATGTTTGAGCTTCTTATCTATATAAGGTATAACAATTAAATATTCACCTATAATATGTGAGGGCATTTTCCTCCATGAATTTGTGTCAGTTATACAGGTTTGTGTCTCTTTTAAATGTCCCTGTTACCACAAAATGGCATAAGATTTGAAGAGGATTCTCTGTTGAAGGGTGGAGTATGAGATTTCTGCCAGTGCACTCCTAGTGAGGACATTTTCTTCCTAGGACACTGAGTGTGACTGCAGGGACTGATTAAGGATAGTTTATGACCCACTAACAAGAAGAGCATTGAGCCCTTGTGAGAACATTGGCTTCCCAAGGACATGCAGCTGCTTTCCCAGACAGCTTATCTGATATGTCTTCCTCAACATGTTTCAGAGAAACCTTGGAGTTATATGAACATGTGCATACACTGTACAACAGGTTGCTGTAACCCTTATCAATAGCAGAAGCACGCTGGGTTGGCCTGTGGGTACTTTTCTTTCTTTCTTTCTTTCTTTCTTTCTTTCTTTCTTTCTTTCTTTCTTTCTTTCTTTCTTTCTTTCTTTCTTTCTTCCTTCCTTCCTTCCTTCCTTCCTTCCTTCCTTCCTTCCTTCCTTCCTTTCTTTCTTTCTTTCTTTCTTTTTTTTTATAGGCAGAGTGGACAGTGAGAGTGAGAGAGACAGAGAGAAAGGTCTTCCTTTGCCTTTGGTTCACCCTCCAATGGCCGCTGCGGTCGGAGCACTGCGGCCGGCACACCGCACTGATCTGATGGCAGGAGCCAGGTGCTTCTCCTGGTCTCCCATGCGGGTGCAGGGCCCAAGCACTTGGGCCATCCTCCACTGCCTTCCTGGGGCCACAGCAGAGAGCTGGCCTGGAAGAGGGGCAACCGGACAGAATCTGGCGCCCCGACCAGGACTAGAACCCTGTGTGCCGGCGCCGCTAGGTGGAGGATTAGCCTATTGAGCCGCGGCGCCAGCCCTGTGGGCACTTTTCAAAGGTAGAGTTCCCATGTCCTGTCTCTCTTTTTGCTTGTGCATCCCAACAGTGAAGCACATGGTTTTCCTTGTTCTTTTTTTGTGCATTTCTAATGGAAGAATTCAGGTGATATACACATAGTTTACTACTGTACCTTTAAAAATATTTGAAAGAGGGAGAGGAGGAGAAAGAGTGTGTGTCTGTGTGGAGAGAAAGAGAGAGAGAGAGAGAGAGAGGGAGGGAGAGAGAAGAGGAGATATTAAGAGAGGGATCTCTTATCTGCTGGTTCCCTCCCCCAGAAACCTACACTAGCCAGGGCGAGGCCAGGTAGAAAACAGAAGCAGAGCATGTCTTCCAAATGGGTGAAGGGATCCAACTATGGGCAATAATCTGCTACCTCCCAGGGTGCACATTAGCAGGAAGCTGGAATAAGAACTGGAACTGGAACTCAAATCTGGTCTCAGATTTGGGACGTCAGTGTACCACACAGCATGTCCACTGCTGTGTCTAATGCCTACCCCTTTATCTTTCATTACTCTTGCTTGTAACTTGGTAAACACCTTCAATCTGAGACTCAGTTTTTTTTGTTTTTTTTTTTGATTAGGTAAACTTTTACAAATTATTTAATTACTGACTTCCCTTCATTGTTCCTTTCCTCCTTCTAAAGCTCATGTCATATCAGAGATTTTTGTCTATTTTCCAGCCTTCACATGTTTTTATTTTCTTTTTTAAAATTTTATTTAAGATGTATAATTTTCAAGTATTTCATGTATTCATATTTAGGAACATAGAGCTACTTCCCACCCTACCTTCCCTCCTGCTACACCTCCACCCTCCCACCATCTCCCTCTCCTATTTTTTTTTTTTTTTTTTTTTACAGGCAGAGTGGACAGTGAGAGAGAGAGACAGAGAGAAAGGTCTTTCTTTTGCCGTTGGTTCACCCTCCAATGGCTGCCATGGCCGGCGCGCTGTGGCCGGCGCACCGCGCTGATTCGATGGCAGGAGCCAGGTACTTATCCTGGTCTCCCATGGGGTGCAGGGCCCAAGTACTTGGGGCCATCTTCCACTGCACTCCCTGGCCACAGCAGAGAGCTGGCCTGGAAGAGGGGCAACCGGGACAGAATCCTGCACCCCGACCAGGACTAGAACCTGGTGTTGCCGGCGCCGCAAGGTGGAGGATTAGCCTAGTGAGCCGCGGCGCTGGCCTCCCTCTCCTATTTTTACAAGGATCTATTTCCAGTTTACTTTATACTCATAAGATTAACCATACACTAAGTAAAGAGTTCAACAACCATAGAGACAACCATAGAGACAAGGCTGTCCTCAACCATAGAGACTGTTCCTCAACTATAGAGACAAGACTGTGAACAATCATTGAATCTCAAAATGTCAATTTCATTCCAAAACATTACATTTTAGGTACCCTATTATTTACCACAGATCAGGAAAACTTATGGTATCTGTCTTTTTTGGGACTAGCTTACTTCACTTAGAAAAATGGCTTCCAGTTACATCCATTTTGTTGCAAAATACAGGACTTCAATTTTTTTAATCGCTGTGTAGCATTACATTGTGTATCTATCCCACAATTTCTTTATCCAGTCATCAGATGATGTAAATCTGGATTGATTCCAAATCTTGGCTATTGTGAATTACGCTGCGATGAACATGGAAGTACAGATAACTCTTTCATATGCTGACTTCATTTTGCTTGGTAAATTCCCAGGAGGAGGACTGCTGGGTCATATGGTAGAACTACCTTCCGATTGTCTTCCATAGTGGCTATGGGCTCTTATTTTCTAACATTAGATGTTGGAGATATTTCTTTTGCTTTACATCCAGGACTGAAAATTTATATTGAGTGCTGTCCATTCAACCTGTTTCCTGAAATCTTTAGCTTTAAAATAATGGTGTTCAATTTTAAGAATTCCTTTTTGTGTTGAGAGTATCTTTTCCCACATGCTGTGTACTTCCCAAGCCCAGCCAGTCTAGAGCCACCAGTGTCTGCTTCTCTTAAGGGAGGCAGCAGAGTCAGAGTGAGAATTGGGTGAAGAGAAGATGTAGGACTCCTTCAGATAGTGCCTTCCAGAATATTCTGAATTTGTCTATTATTAGATTGTCAGTTCCTGGCATGGTAGCTAGACTATGAAAAGTTCCCTGTGGTCATTTACTACCTTAATTTAAAGCAGTTTCTTAATGTTTAATTGGTTTAACCATCAAAATACTTATTTATATATAACTAAAATGTATTCTGGCTTAAACATATGGAAAATGTACTATGTGAAAATTGAGTAGCACAGAACTGAGGAAAGAAGGCTGCTGATTCATGTTTGGAAAACAGATAGGAGCCCTGAGATGCTAAGTGGCTGGATGTAGTCCAGGTGAGGCCATGGGTAGACTGCTTGGGTCCTACTGCCATCACACTAGTAGCTATGACTTCCACTGTTGCCACTTAACACCTGATATTGCTGCCAGCACAGAATAAGTTCTGAATTTCTCCCACTTCTTTGTGTCCCTGCTAGGAACAAGAAGATGGCTAAGCTTAGGTCAAGTGCCTGTGTGTTAACTGGAGAGGGAAGAGAGGGAATCTTTTTTTTTTTTTTTTTTTTTTTTTTTTTTAGCTAACTTAGCAAGAGGCTTCATATTCTAAGCAGCCAAATAATCTAATTTTGTGTGTCAACCTGACTGGGCCTCTCTGGTTGCCCAGATAATTGGCTAAACATTATTATTGGGTGTGTCTATAGGATATTTCTAGAAGATATTAGCATTTGAATTGGCTGACTAAGTAACATATATGGCCCTCTCCAATGTAGATGAGCATCATCTAATCTATTGAGGGCTCTAAGAGAACAATAAAGGGAAGGAAAGGTGAATTTTCTTTCCAATTGAGTGTTGAGCTAGGGCATCCATCTTTGGCAGACCAGGTCTCAAGCCTTCATGGTCCAACTGGAACCACACCATCTACTCTTGGCCCTTTGAACAAAACTACTGGGCTGACGATGTGGTGTAGCAGGTAAAGCCACCGCCTGCAGTGCTGGCATCCCATACGGGCGCCAGTTCAAGTCCCGGCTGCTCCACTTCCAATCCAATTCTCTGCTATGGCCAGGGAAGGCAGTGGAAGATGGCCCAAGTCCTCAGGCCCCTGGATCTGCATGGAAACCTGGAGGAAGCTCCTGGCTCCTGGCTTCAAATTGGTGCAGCTCCAGCCATTGCAGCCAATTGGAGAGTGATCAAATGGATGGAAGATCTCTCTCTCTCTCTCTCTCTCTCTCCCCCTCTCTTTCTCTCTCTCTCTCTCTGCAACTCTGCCTTCTGAATAAATAAATTTTTAAAAAGTAAACAATACTACTGGCTTTCCTGGATATCCAATTTATAGAACTTCTCAGTCTCCAAATTTGTGTGAGCCAGTTCTTTGTGATTAATACACACAGTTATCTACATTTGTCTATAGTAAATGTTACTAATTATACATTTATGTAGCACCATCAATCATTTTTGCCTAATACTAGAAGTTCAGGAAGACAGAAACCATGGTTATTAATTCCATAAACACTAAGAAGCTACTTTTGCATGGTGTGGCACTGTATTTTCCAGACAATAGGTGTCACCTACATGCTCTTTATACAGTATTCCACTGACACTCCTCTACTGAGAAGAGTGGTCAGTGTTCCTTCCCCTTATCTGGGTGCACTGTGTCTTCAGTGGCAATGAGTATGCTGACTTCTGAGCATGGGCTATAAAATGTGATACAGCTTTACCTGTTTCTTGGGGCACATGTCTTCGGAACTGTGAGCAGCCATGTAATAAACCTGGCTCCATGAAGACAATGTGCTTTGAGAAAACCCATAGAGAAAGAGATGCCCATGGAGGCTCAGCTGTTTGAGGTCTCAGCTGTTTGGGTCTTTCCAGCCCAAGAGTCAGGCTTGTGAATGAGTGAGCTTCCAGATGATTGTAGCCCTCAGCCTTCCAGTCAACTTAGCCAATGTTCAGTGGAGCCTGCCTTTGAATTTTCCAGCTGAGTTTCAGAGAGCAGAAGAAAGCCACTTGCCCTATTCCCTGCCTGAATTCCTGATACATAGCACTTAGCAGCATAATGAAAGTTTGTTTTATGCCATTATATTTTGGAGTAATTCCCTGTGCACCTATACTAACTGGGACAAATAACCAGAGAATCAATCACAGACTTTCTGGGATAGAAAAGAACATCTAGTCAAAATAGTTTATTTTACAGATGAAGGAATTAGCTCAGAGAGGCAGAATAATTGACCCAGCATCTATCAGCTCATTAGTTTCAGACTCAATGGTCTTTCCCTCCTGATGATGTGAGGAGGGTGCTGTTCTGCATGAATTGGGGTAAAATCGCAGTTTGAAAGAATGCTGGTTCATGTAACTCCAGATACTCATGGAAGATAAAGTCAGGACCAAGGAGCTCTAAGGCCACTGAAAAAGTTTTCTTGTCTTATAATACACTAGGCAGACCAGTCTGAGTGAGTAGGTGGGTTTTAGGTGGAATGTGGGAGAAGGAGGAATCTTTCTAGCTATTACTCAGTCAGAGCTGGTAGGTAGGCAGACTTGGAAAAAAATGCACCAAGGGCTGGCGCTGTGGCATAGCAGGTAAGGCCTCCATCTGCAGTGCTGGCATCCCATATGGGCACCAGTTCAAGACCCGGCTGCCTCACTGCTGATCCAGCTTTCTGCTGTGGCCTGGGAAAGCAGTGGAGGATGGCCCAAATGTGTGGGAGACCTGGAAGAAGTTCCTGGCTCCTGGCTATGGATTGGTGCAGCTTGGGCCGTTGCAGCCAGTTGGAAGACTTCTCTCTCTCTGCTTCTCCTCTCTCTGTGTAACTCTGACTTTGAAATAAAATTAAATTAATCTTTTTTTTAAAATAGAAAAAATGCACCAGTAATATGTTATTTAACATGCAGGAAGAGCTAAAAGAAGGTGATATCAAAAAAGCCTGATACCTCAAGAATCCTCACATATGAATGTATTACTCAGATATTAAGCTGAGCCACAACCCTCTCCAAATTAAATCAACATGGAAATAATCACCTAATTTTCAAACGGGCTGTTCTGGCGAGCATGATGAACCACTGTCACATGGTCACTTCACTTAATCTGATAGCAGCCCTCAGGACCATGTGGACTGTAGTTTTATATGCCTCAGGCCTTCTGTGAATAATTTTATAGCATATAATAAATAACCGTGGATCTGAAGTTAAGTATGACATGGTGTTAGGAAGAAGATCAAAGAACTTCTGCTGATGACCTATGGGAGACACTCTGAAATATTGGAGACAATGCACATGATAATGGCAACAGTAACAGCGTCAATGTAGATTCAGACTTTAGTTTGCAAAAATCACCACGCAGGTGGACAAGGAAAAACTACTGCAGTCTTACCTTCAAGGTCAAAGTTTCCTGAGTGTTCTAGAACCTTAAGTCAAATAATTGCCTGTGTGAAGGCAGGTTGTAGTTTCAGAAATTTGAAAAGAAGTGTTAGAAATGCAACATAACAAATGACATATAAATAAATACCATTATTAAAAGCATTTTTTAAGTGCAAAAGTTTAAAATGGGTGTAAATTTATACAATTGCAGATACATGATCTGTATTCTATATTAAAGGCCATGAAAAAAATTGATCCTGAATTATTTGAAGTTTTCAGTAGTACACCCCGATAACATGTGACCTTGTATTTTATTTTTAAAGATTTATTTTTATTTATTTGAAAGACAGAGTTACAGAGAGAAAAGAGAGAGAGAGAGAAGAGAGAGAGAGAGAGAAATTTTTCTACCTGCTGGTTCACTCC